ACCAAACTCACATAATACCGGCTGCAGTGCCTCGCAATTTACCATGCCAGCTTCTTTCGTGTCGCGCTCGGCATTTCTTATAGGCCAAATTTTGTGGAATCCGCATTTCTCTTACGCCATGTTTAGTGCACCGACACAGATGACGAGGCAATGGAGCAAGATTCGGGCGAGCACATTGCTTGCACACTTCATCAAGCTGACGCCACCATAATTCGTACTAATTTGCTTGCGCGCTTTGCATTTGTACTATGGTGGCACAAAAAAATTCCTTCAGGTCTACTGGCATTTCAGTTTTATCCCCACACTGCGTACAAACAAAAAGACAAACTATTTGATATAATAGGTCATTACTCTATTCTGTGATGCAGACTAAATCATGTTGATAATTGTTCCTAAATCCAAAGTATTAGCTTCATAAGATCAGTTGCAACCACATCTGCGAAGTGGATGTGGCGAGTTTTGATGTGACGCAATAAGATTATGAACGCTAAGGTGACCTAGAATTGTTGACCTATAGTCAGTAAAGAACTGTCTATCGAACAGCTTATTGGACTTCGCAGAATTACAGCTTAAGTTAGGCCGCTTTTCTGCACCATAGGAACTTGAGCTAACTTTGGCATACATCCTTCTGAAGTCGATAGGTCATCAGTTCTGAATACGTGGTCTTTCCTGCAATCACATAAGAATCCATGTTTGTCTAATTAACCCTAAGAATAAAATAATTCCGTCAAGTATCCTCAAAAGGAAAGTCAACAGAATCTGCATAAGGGTGCACCCTTCATTTAGGAATTATGTGTTTCCAATGAAACTAACAGAATTCCGGAATATTCATTATAAGAATTTTGAATTTTGCTGAAGTTAAAACATGTTTTTCAAACTACTTTAAATAGGCACTAGATACAGTTAAACCTCCCTTTAACGTATTATAAAATTCCTACCCATTAGTTGATAATATATATTAATTACCCTGTAATTCAAAAGCGTGCTATGTCTGAAGAAAACAAATTAGGTAGACAGGCGCTGTGAAGTGCAGTTTCTTGAAAGCGAGGCATCCAACGTCCCCCTGTTTCACCAGATACGGTCCTACTGATCGAATGGAATATGGTTACCTTTCGTGTAAACCCCGGCTCACTATGAGATGGCGAGCCAAAATTCATACCAGTGAGTTTACTTTAAACTAACCAACCGATCGATACTTGGTATTGTGCATGTATTGCACGACAAACTTTGTTATCAACAGGTAAGTAGCGTATACTCTAATGTTCTAAAATTCATATTTCACAATAAAACGTGATTGTGGCAGCTAAAGGTGGTTGCCAGTTTGTTACATGTCACCTTTAGAGAGAGGATAATCTTTCTAAAGTTAAAACGGAGTAACACCTATCCACTTCAGAAACTGATTGCAGGGTGCAACCAGACGAATATTAGACTGTACTAACCACGCGCAGCATAGGGCACTTATATATATTTTAGTTGCACCCACCGGCGAGGTAGAAAGAAGAAAAGCAATGTTAGACATTATCAGTTGTGCGAAGAATACAAATTTAAATAAATCGCTTTAAGCATCTACAACTATACACAAAATTAAGGTGTAAATCTGCTTGCAAAAGCCGCGTCACGGATAAACAAATGAAAACCAAAGATTTATATTAGACACAGCGGTAAGAATTATCATTTCACAGCTTGTTTAATTGGAGCTGAAAGCTACGCAAAACAACCTGATTAACCCAGAATATTTAATGTTGGAGAGAGTTCGTGGCCGACTTAAACTCAAGACCTGTAAAACCGCATGTTGTTTACACCGCTTTGCTTCCTACACCCTAATTTCGATGGCGTCCGCGATGACAAATGTACGTTCTTTAATGTATTTTGTGTAGCTTCAGGGGATGTTATAGTCGAATTTATAGTACTCGTTCATCCGAAGTTGACTGTTAATTACTAACAAGTGTTAAAGTACAGAACTGATGACGTTCTTCAACCTGCATTTCCAATGGTTTCAGGGCAGTGTTTAGCAATGCGTTTGAACAAGCATCTTGCCTTTTATCCAACATATCTTACACCAAATGTGCGGATGAACTGAGTTAATATGAAGGATCCGAAAGGCATTAGGAGCTTTTTCTTTAGGTGTTGGGAATCGAAACTCCCGTTTCGAAAAGTGGCACGCGTAGCAGTTGGGTACGGCTGAGTCACAAGGTAGTAAACGTTGCTTCAACACTGAAAACTATAAAACCTTTAAAAAGGACCGTAGCTAAGGCATTATTTGCGACGCTGTAACGGCAGACTACGCAACAACAGGTGGAATGGAATGCTTTTTAAGAAATGGTGTAGGATACGCGTTTTCCTGCTGGGTGCTGAAGATAGGCCTTGTTTCTCTATCAAGTGTTTCCAGACTAATGGTTAATGCGCAATAGTAAAGACAATAAAACCAAATGTTGTTTGTATCTCAGGGGTAAAAGCGGTAAACGTGGTTGCATTTCCATACCAGTGGCTCTAAGTAGAAGACACTCCATCCGATTATTTCGTCCACACAGTTGAGCAGTATAGCGTCCAAAAAGGCGAGGCAGCCACTTTTTTCAAATTCACCGATGACTTGCAAAGAGTGATGCAATCGGTTAAACTGATTTAGTAGGCTAGTGTAATCTGTAGAGGAGTCAAAGACAAATGAACGCTTTACCCATATAACAGTAGTAAGAATGAACAAATTTGATGGGTTTTCTCACCTGCACTCGTTTTTACCTTGCGGATGCACATCCGACAAAGGTTGGTGTAGGGGAGAACCCAATGGGATCCAGTCGATTGGTCGGTACTAGATCCCATCAAACAGAACACGTAAATTGAAGGACTAACGTTCGTTTAAGCCATTTCTTCTCCGCCATTGGTCCGCTAAAAATACATCTGTAGTTATTTCCTGATACCGTGCATACGTTTCTTCCGTGCCCATTTATCTCTCTGCACCGACGTTTGCGCCATTTTTTGGTCCTACTTCTGTTTATACTTGTAGCTACCTTAATGTTTACATATAAAATAATAGTATTTGAGTAATTTTTAAATTCCGACCATCGGAAAAACAAAGGTCATTTTACTGCGATATCACTAATTATGCGCTTGAGAAGCCAGAATAATTCGCACACCAGAATGGGTCTTCCATTCGTTTTACCTGGAGTACATAAACTTTGGAAATCATTAAAAACGCTTGTACCTGGTTGTTATTATTTCCGCATTCTCCAAAAAGGCAATAAATTTCCACACGTTTGGTTTTCACTGTCAGTAGTTTACGGGACACTGCCAACCAGTACCTGATAGCCACAATGACGATGTTGTCTAGGAAGGCAAAGAAATGTCCGCATCAAAACTGTTCAGTTCGGAAAAAACCGCAATGATCTTACTAACGATTTCATTTATGCAGACACTGTAAAATTCTTTCTTAAATGTCAGTAAGCGAGCTGCAAGTTATGTCATAAGCAACCAGCAAATTGCATTCAACGTGCATGACGTCGAATAATATGTTGCTTTTTGTGAGCTATAAATCTTCAATAACAAATTCTTTTGGGTATAGGCTTAGGGCAGCGAACGACATTCGTGATTTGTAGCCTAGTGCTGGAGAAAACATTGCAACACACCCATCCACACTTACACAAATGATACTAAAAACGCAGCCTAATTCTTTACTCGAGAAAAATGATTTAAAATGTATTAGTTAAAAAGGGCACCTTACAATTTCACACTTGCAAGTACGCATAAATCACCATAGGCAATTTGCAAATCGTTTACGAAATATTCACATGTTGCAGTACTACTTGGAGTAAAGTCGTCTAAATTGCCTACGAGCTGTAAATGTTTGAGTGAGTCCAGACGTGACGAATTTCTACCTATACCATTCAGCTCACCCTACTAATCTTCCGTAAAATATTATCTGCTAATCATTTAGTAAACTTACACCTGATAAGGCAAATTGCTGTAAACGCACCAATTTGGGTACTTAAAGCTTATATTAACTTCGCTTGACTTGGTGCATGACGAGGGCAGTACTGTTGAAATCACTTCCTACTGAGTAGCATTTTAATACGATGTGTTATGGAAGCACAAACACATGACAACTTGCATCTAACTGAGCTAACAGCTAACATGGATAACATATGTCAATAGGAGCTACGATATGTTTATAATGTGTAGTATCGTCAGGTTTTAAGGTAACATTATTTACCTTTGAACGCGAAGCATTTATTCAATGTAACCACCGAAGTTGGTCAGTAACGAACACTGAGGTCAGTCGCTAAATTTGCTACGACATATAAACTATTATATGCTAATTCGACGTGTGATGAATAAGGTTAATTTCTTTTCTAAATAGAGTAATTGGTATGTTGAAGTAAAAGGAACTCACTACAGTTTTCAAAATTGAAATAATTTACTATGTTTGACGTGATAGACTGAGTTCAGATGTGTATTATATTCTTTACAGCTTTAACATTAGTTGGCACAATGATTTACCAGATCATTATAATCAGCCTTATGAAGATAAGCCTATTAAATCAGTCTTCTAGCGTTATCTTGAAATGTTCGAAAGAAATGCCCTGTGTGAATTACAGGTTGTAGTTTGAATATGTAATTTTATCTTGGTTCACTTCCAGTTCCAAAAATCCTTTAAGCAATTAGTTTGCACTCAACATCAGTGGCGGCCTTAGCTGCGCTTCTTAAGCGGGTTGCGCCTATGGTAGTTAGGTGTTACTCACAATATTCCACAGTCTATACGAGACATTTGTAATAAGACATGCTCCAGTATCGCGAAGTTAACATTACTTTATCCCCGGTGTTGGATCCTTGATTAAACCATTGTCAGGTACCAAGTACAAAACGACAAACTTTTGCAACGCCCCTCCATCAATAAGATACTGCAGCGAAGGACATTGTCAGAAGCAATTCCGGCTCCTCTTTCTTACATTACTTGCTGCGCATCTTCCAATGTAGTAGAAATCTCTAATGCTTTATTCACATTTTAGTGCCCTACACTAATGATAACGAAGTGCAAGGTGAGCCGTTATATCTCATTTTTTCAGCAATGTAAATAATGTAATCAAATTTACTAAAAATAATGCAAGCTGAGCCCTCCCACGTAATATGGTAATGAGTAAAACAAAATGCCGAGCACACGATAAACTATAAGATTACTTTATTGGAAGCGAGTAGGCACCATGGAAACGTACCAGCTTCTATCAAGAGAATGCTGCATAATCCGCTTGGTTCAAACCCAAACCAGCCACGTCCCCATCTCCGTTGTCTTCTCCAACTCTGTTTGAACGCCAGGCAGAAACCGCCAGTACCTACGGCAGTCTAACAGTACCCAAGGCAATGAAATCAGGCACCACGCGAAACGTCTGGTTAAGCAAATTCCACTACACCTGACGTCTAGGGTTTATAAGGATGAAGCAGCCAACCACCTACCCTCGGTACCTGTAGCACAAATGTCTCTTCTCTAGACAAAGCCACCTCGGGAACATCAGTTAAATATGCAGAGATATATGCAAATGTCGTTCGTGAGACCGCCGTTGCGGTCTTTTCAGTTGTAAACATCGTCAACGCGAATAGAGGGAAAAGTATACCATCGACACTTGTCAGCAGGTTAAGACAAACGAGTACCTTTCCTTGTAGATCAACAAAAAGGGATCCAACAATAGTTCCTGGACTTTTGTTAGCTGTAATGTTCCTGAATCTACCGCTATCACATTGCAGAATAAATTATCCGATGACCAAATCAAATGGAACTCATTGTGCGTGCTGATGAGTGTCAAACCAAAGCCTGTTAACTTTTTAGGAATAACTCGTCATCTGGAGTACCCAGACTTATTCGAGTAACACTATAATCCTCCCCTGATGTAGAAAACGCTTTGCTATGCGCACGCACATTAAAACAGGGGTTCTTGGGATATGCATCCATCGTTATATCAATTGGAGCCCGCAACAATCAAAAGGATCTCCGAAGCTGGACACAGCACATAAGACCGTCAAAACAAAATTTTTATAAATGGCATGCCAGAACAACCTTCTAACGATGTTCAAAAGACAGGCAAGCAAGCTTTATAACAGTGGAGGTTCATTCGTGAAACACATTCTTTTTGGATAAGATGGTAGAGCTATCGTTCACTAGGATACCTCTTCCACCAACTTATGGAGGGTGTGGCCCTAGAATCCTAAAACCTATGGTTCAGTCAGAGCAACAAGCAATGGATGTTTCTGATCGATGGCGAAGCAATCGGCAACATCTTCCTTCTGAACCTTGGTTAAACGTCCCAGAAGCATTGTGCAGCTCAAACATCAGAGCACCTGAAGCAGCAGGCAAACCGATGAATGTACAGAAGCGTAACTTGACTGCTACTTAAAGTGACTCTGACGCGGGTCTAAACGAAGAGGGGGACGCCTCTTGACAGAAACCAGTGGCAAAAGGTATATCCTTATCCCATCTCAAATACGCGCAACTTCGACCTCCCATCGGTCGGCATCCTCCCACACCTGACCCCCTCACTTATCTGTGGGCTCTTCGGGGCCCGAGAAACTTGCCTGTTGATTGTGAATTCTCAGGGTATTTTAATAAACTGGCTGCAATTGAATATTGCTAAGCTTCCGAGTCATATAATGTCATTTGAATCAGCGAGAGGTGGTTACGCACGAAAATGACGGACGCTGAAGTTTTGGTACTGGGCATGTCGCTGATGCGGATCGATAGACGCATAACAGAAAGTGGGGTGTTACACTGTTTCCAAAAAACTTACCGTGCGAAGCCGTGGAAGATTCAGATTACCATTTATCCTACTCTCTATGATGCCGTTTGCAGTTAAATGACAGGTAGGCTTGCAATATTGTCTTGGTGTGCCGCCCTTTATTTCTGCACTCTAAAATGACTGCCAACTTACAGCTTGTTTAATATGCAGTTTACAGCGAAATTACACATAAATATTATCATGGGTGAATGCAACGCGCCTTGTGTAGAAACTCCTGGCACAACCGGAGAACAATTCAAAGCCTCTGTAAAAGATCTCCTAAACACTGTTCCTCTTTACCATCGAGTCACTTTACCCAATCGGTTCAGAACTGAGAACAGGCCATCTGTGCTAGTTCTTGTGCTTACCAACTAGGAGCATTTGACTAATGTGTTAGTTTTTGACTGCGCGTTGGGTCGCAGTGATCACTCTGTGATCGGTTTTAACTTCGTCTGATAAGCGGAATACAAAAATGAGAAAAATAACGCGGCGCGAAACATCACAACCTACGATCGATTAGCCCAGCTCGTCAGCGCAACAATTTTCTCCCGAAAACCGTATGGCTTGCGTTCGTCAGCAATTTCAGGCAGCTGATTGCAGCGGCTTCAGTGATAAACGTTTGCAATAAGTGTACCTCAGTTTCGTTTGTTGGGAGCAGAACTGGAAATCGGATAGGCAAGGCAGCGCGGCGTGTAATGAGAAGATCCAGCACCAGAAACGGAACAAATACTTTGCCCAACGTAACCAATGCACACAACTGCTAAGAGAAGACAAAGCCTCATCTCAGCAGAGCAAAGCAAATACCTTCGGCGCTAACCACAATCTGCAACTTAAGTACGTCAATGGCCTAAAAATGTGGAGCAAGATATCCTCCACTCAGGAAGGCTCATGGCCCAATAAAGGCTGCGGATGCAATATTCTACCGCGTTTCAGAGGGCCTGGCAACCAAGCGATCTTCCAAACTTTATCATCTACTCGCTAGTACTAACCCACATCACCTTCACGGCGGAGGCTGTATTGTATAAGCTGACTTCACTACACAAATGCAGCTCGCCGGGTGTTGACACTATTCGTCCAGAGGCATTCAATGCAGCAGCAAGCCAACTGGCAGGAGTTTTAGCTCATATTCTCCAACGCTGCTTAGACTACAATCAAGTTCCAGCTTTATGAAAGCTTAAAATAATAACTCCTATTCGCAAAGGTGGATGGAAAACTGCTCTTTCCAAATACTGCCCGCTATGCCTCCTTTACATACTCTAAAAATTCATGGAACCCAGAGTTGCCGATGCTGGGGTGCATTAGCTGGCAATCTGTAGCATCCTCACGCCTGAGCAGAACAGGTTCCGTCGACAACGGCCACGTGCACCGAATTTATTAATTTCAAGCGGTACTTGGACCGAGGCAGCTAACGCTGGAGAAGGCTTTAATGGGGTACACCGATCAAAGGCTGACATTCGAAGCAGGCAACAATCAATAGCCATTCAGATCTGGCATTGGTTTGCGAGACTCCGCAAATCAGCATCAAATAGCTGCACTGAAGATGTTACCTGGTTTGGTAACGAAACGTCTGCAACAGAAATGCCCAACTCGGAGAACAGGGCAATCTTTTCATCCACATCCCGAGCTACAGGTATTCTCAATAATTTCCACTTGGCTTTTTTCTACGTTAACTGGTCTAGACCACTGGATAATAATCACAAATGTGCAACATTATGGGATCGGCGAACATCCTTTAAGCGTGATGGCCAACTTTTTACTTTAACGGCAATTAGTGGTCAGAGTTCAGAGCTCTGTATAGGACCCCCTACAAGTCCAGTGTGCTTTGCCGCAAGGCTCAGTTCTAGGTCTGCGTTTGTGTTTAAAATTTATTACTGAAGGTGTACTGGAAATCGCTTTAAACCTTCTAATGTTTAGCGAAGATATCAACATATGGCGCTGGATCCAAGCAAACGCCAACCAACATCTGCTTCAGAGTCACATAGATAGGGTTCCTGCACTGCTCATCCCAAAACGTACTGCATTTCGAAGACAGTACATGCTAGGTGCTATCCATCCGGCTTCAGAGCAGCTACTTATACCGGCTAAGACCATATATACGAAAACAATCAACCCCCGAACGTGACTTGCGTGTCCTGGGTCAAGATGACTGGGGTTGCTCCAGGAAATTAAAAAAGGCCTCAAAGAACGGAATCCAACGCGCCGGGCTTTTGCGATGGCGTATTGACAAAAACTGCTCCATAATTTAACAAATACACAGTGTGTTTGTTGGTCCTCATGTTGAATATGCAATATAAGCCTGGAATCCATGGCTAAAATACGACCCTGATGCACTGGTGTAGCCAAACATCGGGCAACCAAGAACGTAATTGAAATTCGCAATCTTTATCCCAGGAGAGGCTGCAACGATTAGGGTATTCAGTGGAAGCTATCGCAGATCAAGAGGAGACCTGATTACGACATAATTGATTCTGCCAGACCCACATCATGTGTACCGCCATTTTCTGCGACTGAGCACCAATACAAGATTGAGGGGCCACTCATTAAAACGATGTTTATTATAGCCGGTTAGAGTGCCGCAGAATGTTGTTTTCCATTTGTGTATGCAATTCGTAGAATGCACTCTCAGAATCAGTTATCTCTGCACCGATATTAACAGTAGTTAAAAGACACTTGGATGATGCACCCATTCACTTAGAGTTGGTGACATTCCTACTTCACCATTCCACACCTGAAGTGTACCATGGAATTATTTAACATTAACTGCGGGTGCTGTGAATCTGAGTGGATTGCAGGACTAAGGCGAACAAACGATAAGTCTCGATTATCATATTTTAAGTACTAACTGTTTTATTATCAGTATTTTCATGATTATTAAGTAGATACCTTCGCTAACAAACGAGAATTGTCAAGCAACTCTTCTTATCCCGTAAAAGCATTGTTCATTGCTCAACTTAAATTCATTGTCTTAGTGCATTAAACCTTGAAGTGTTTAATATGGTCGGGAATAGTCACGATCAACCGTGGCCCCTATTAAAGCGTAAACACAAGGAGTAGCTAAGCTTTGTGAACAATTTAGAACATTTTAGCGTCTTTTAACCATAGGTATGCCAAAATAATTTTTTTATGTCATATTCTTTAATTATTTATCCACTTGATTTATATTTTCAGTTTCCATAGAACCTGGTCAGTTAAACGCGATTTTTCTCAATTCCAAACAAAATTCATGAACATATGTTGCATGGCATTTTTCACATCGGCGCTAATAATAGTACCTAAATCTTCAGAATGTGAATTAAATAAGAACATTTAACATATACATATAAATATATACTACCAACTTTTGGATTCTATTTGCCGGATATTTCCAAAAATGACACGGAATGGGAGTTGGTTCCTTTGTTCGTAATGATTGTTGACTTACTGATTGTATCCTACGTAGTTCAACAGTTACAGCAAACAGTTTTGCGTTAGGCGATAATAGTAATTCGCAACACTGATCTGCTGAAGTCATTCACACCGCTTGTGTTGAGAGAAATATTATATGTTGTTAACACTCTTAATTAAAGGAGTAAAGCTTTTCTTATCTTCGGAATCAGAAATGTTATGAAAAATTGGCAGGGACTTGCCAGATCCAGATGTGCCACGCAACTATTAAAATCTGTAACCCGCAATAATGGTCAGCATTTCTTCTTAACCACAGTTAAACATACCATGTTTGTTGCAATAGCCACGAGCTGTCACCATGTAAATGCCTATTTTGTCAAAAATAACTGCTTATGATACTCGACTTATGGGATCCTAACATCAGACGCACAAGCCGAATTAAACCGTATGAATATATCGAGTAGGAATTCAGCGACGTAATAAAATGTCGACGGTGCTCCGACAGGAAAATTCAAACAAACAAGTAAGCACCAAACGCTTAGCCGGTCAGCGAGCTAAGTAGTTAGAAAAGACACAAACCGTCAATACAATATTTGCGATTAATATCTAATCAGGATAATGATCCATTCATATTAGTTGCGGTGCTGGCATAGCCAGAAAAAGGCGATAATAAAATTAACCATTCAGTTCGGTTTTGCTTTTATTGCTTGAGCAGAAAATTGATATATATATAAATGGGGGAGTAAATATTTCTTTGATTGTATACGACGTAAGTAATTGGAGAAGGTTATGATTCGTTAGACCCGCAAATATGTGTGAACATTGAGTTACACAGGGGTAAAAGTCGAATTCGGTTGACTTTGCCGCTGCTTTTAGACAGAATCATTCGGTTAACCACAAAGGGTGTGTTCGATACTTAGACTTTCACTGTAAGTTACACTGACCGTTAATAAGGAAGCAAAGTATGCATCGGTACATCCAGCACTGAGTACGTAATAGTAAGATGGTCAAATGCTTACTCAACTTGCGTTAAAAATTCCGCGGGTTAGTGTATTACGACTCATAGATCTTGGCTTCATTCAGATATGATGACACATAGACATGAGCAAAACCATCACGTTTATACACGTAAAGATTTTTCTTGGCGGCAGATTTATACGCTAGGGATTTCAGCTGCTTGGTACTTCCTGCTACAGCGATATAGTTGGGATATGCACAACGAATCTATAGTTTTCGACTAATTGATTCATTATAGCTACATGACAAAAATAATCTATTAGCACAAGATTTCATCCAAGAAATCACAGCGTTGTCCAGTTCCGTAATTAATTACTTGGAACATGTAGCTGTACTAAGTTGTAAATGTTGCGAGACATGTTGTGTATCTCGCCACTATTTATATCTAAGACAATTGAATCTTTAAAACAAATGGATCATTCTTTGAGAATAAGGGACATTAGTGCCAGAGCGTATTTAGCTAGGCACCAATTTGTCAAAAATCCCATAAATGGTCATGTTAACACGAATGTATTGTGAACAAAGCTGTTTTCTCAGAGGGCATTCCTTAAAGTTTGGAAATTATCTGCCACGTACACCATTTTGTTGCAGATGAAATATTAATATCAACAGGTCCTTCAACAATAAACTGTAATCCTATCGCAGATGGGCGGCGGAACATACGTGGATAGACTTTAAGTGCATCAGTATACCACACGCCATGTAAGATGTATTTTATATTCTCCTAAAGCGTGCAAGAAATTGTCACAAGAAATAATCTACCTTGTTTAGGTTGGCACAAGAGTGAAGAACCCATGACAACAACATAACTAATGAATAGATAAGGCGGCAAGCTAATACCATAGATTTTTGTCGGCACTGTTTCCTTAATCTGTTCATGATTTATTTACTGGGGACACTGAGCACTTGGATGCGCCTTCAGTGACTGTATCACTGGTTTTCTAAAGATGTGTTTTCAAACGGTTCAAATTTGAAATATTTTTGGTGATCTACTCAACTTGGTGACAACACACTGAAGTAAATAATTTTAGCTATATTTTCTAGTTTATTTAGCACCAAGCCGCAGAAGAAAAGTTGCAAACATAGTTGTAGACAGTTTTCTTATTTCCTTTTCGCTGCAATCATGTCCCTTTCTATGTTAGGTCATTCAAGTGATAAACTGTTGCTTCAGCAGAGTTTTCATTCGAACGCTGAATAGCTTTTCTAAACATTTTATGCTTTTATTTTAGCACGTAACACTTGAATCCGTTTTGGGAAACTATCCGTGCGCTGCAAGTGGGATCTAAGGTTTTGGGAAAATATTAACCAGGTGTACAAACAAAAAGGGGGGAGAAGAAGCACGCTAGTATTTTTCGTCCCACACTTTCGAATAAATTCCTCATGTATGGGATTTTGTAAAGAAAGAATCTGATTAACATTGGATTAGATGGTTACATCAGCCCAGGCTGCAATGCCTAGGTAGATTGGTTATCTATTGGAAGGAAAGTTGAAAGCAACCTTTTCTCAGTTTTATCACAAACGTATATCTGAACTCAATATATCCACTCGAAAGTGTCAAATTGCTTGTCTTGAAAGTACTTGAAAACTCTAAGTAAAACCACAAAAGTAAAAAACGTGCAGCCCTGATTATGTATGAGGTACGTAATGGTTATTTGCTTCATTATATAGCATTCTATTTTTTGCTTAAATGACATAGAAAATTGTTTCCGTTACAGTAGCTGATGGGAAATTGAAAAGTGAGTGTTCGTTAGTGTACATTAATACCATAAAGAGTTATTACATGCTACTGAATTGAAGTTTATTATTAGGACTTCACACCTGACAGGTTTCCAAGTAAAGGCAGATAACTGCGCCATCATTATTGTGATTACTTTTTAACGCCGTATTTTGTGTTCAGCACTTGAGTCATAATACACAACATACTACTCCCAAAACAATCAAATCTATTTATCTCTTCAGAGCGAAACCTCTCCATTAAGATATAGGCTTGCGCGTCACGGCAACAAATTCCCACACTTCGACCACCTTAGTAAAACTGACACATACAAACTTACGCATATCCTAATGATCGTGATATACACTCGACACTGCACGATTCCTTAGCGCGCGAACTCCGAGAGCGTTCACTCTCCACTACTAATACTCTCAGTAGACGACAACTTAATCTCTCTCTGCGACAACACTCGAGATTTCGATCTCTATCATTCTCGGGCCAGAGCGAGAGCCAGAGCACTACAAAATACTTCAGAGGCATTACTTCAACTTCGCAGACCCCCCCGAATGACCATATCTACGCCGCTATTCGCGCGCGCAGTCTCTGATTATCACACGCAGCTCTATGTATCGCAATTCTATCTATCATCATTCAACAGCTGAATATCTATGCTATCTCTTCAACAAGTTACAAAAGTGTGCACGACATGTTGATATGACGCGAAGATCTCAACAGTTAACAAACACAGGCTCTAACTACAGCGAACTACAATTCACAGTGACTGCTCACTAGCACTAAGTGCCATGATTACAGCTAGGACACTGCACGGAACGTCAAAGATAGCGACTATGAAACAGACTAGAACAAGAAGATCACGAGAATGGTCATCCTATCAAGTGACTATGTAAACTGTCAGACCAATCGTCTATCTAGAAAGCCCATGTAAATGCTAGCCAGAGAGAAGAGACAGAGCAGCAGAGAGATGAGTTCTATATAGACAGCATCAGATTTCGCACGAGCTGGTCCAACGAGCACTATCGACCGTGCTTAGCTGCTCATGTGCTATGCGTGCAATGTCATATTTCATACACAGACTGTCTATCACACATACACGCAGCTATGAGAGGGAGAGATATCAGGCGTAGGTAGACACATAGGCACAGCTGGTAGAAGTGGATTGGACGGACAGGGTCGGGGAGACAGCTGAAACTATGAGAGATAATATATGTAAAGATTCACACAAGTCAGTCATCTCAGACCGAATCAATTAACCAAACTTAGTTTGCACATCTGTCTTTATAGAGTAGCTCGACAGATGGACTGAATTAAATATGTAATAATATGACTGACAGAAAGAGCATATCACTTGGACAGCTTTATATAGAGACACAGTTTAAAGGGGTCAATGATCTTGCATGTATACACGCTCTCGTTCACACGCAAGACACACGATACTCTTCACAACACATTATCCGTAGGGTAATGAGTGTATGTGATATATAGAGGAGTGTGGGAATAGCACGTCTCAACAGATGATTGACAGATCGTTGGGGGTCCTTCACTCAGTTCACAAGAACGTCTGGAGTTGAGTAGAAGTACTCACGTTTTGGACACTGGTACACTACAGACTGCGTGAGCAAACAGACAATACTACTTGCTGAAGGCTATCTGAGGACACAGTGATACCTAGACGAGGATTAAGTGATGTCGCACACACACACAAGACGGGTGTTTTAGTGGAGAGTGTAGACACACACATTATGTATACGGATTCGCCTATTACAGTATACAATTAGTGGGACGATGACTTATACTTTAGTAGTGACTGAGTATTGTGGAGACAGTAGGGTAGCTCACACATAGGGAGTGAGAACAGTTCAGTATAGGGATAACAGGGGTATCGATCAATCTATAGACATCACGATATGAGTAGGTTGATAGACAGAGTTTCTGATGGACAGAGAGAAGGAGGAACAGCACTTATATACAGGAGAGAATGAGAAAATAGTATTAGATAGATAGGTTAGTTACACTGGTGATCTTTAGGTGAACAGACATTTACGCTACTGGTAGACAGGGATGTGAGAACGAATACAGATTAAAATGGGTTGGTATGCGGCTGTTGAGCAGTCTATCGATTACAGTGAACTGAGTGCGACACAGAGGTAGGTGTCTGCAATAGTTTAGTGAGATAAGTAGTTATATGTGATTAGATTTTAGAGGGGTAGACTGTAGATGCGGTGAGGACGGTGATAGTATCACAGTTCACACACAACGGTGAGGGGAAGTGTCAGAGCACATTTGTAGATTACTGACGTACAATCTCTATATCATCATAGATTTGGGAGTGTGTCACAGCATGTGACACATGATCATAGAGAAGAGTTGGATTTTCAACGCACAGAGAGTAGATACATAGTGTAGTAGTTCTTTCTCACATTGTTTAAGTCTGTCTAGTTTTCATAACGTATAGAGCTATGTGGAGTGGTTACATCATGTCATTGTGGACACACAGGTACAACAAATAAGATGGTGAGGCGAGTGTTATGTGACATTGGATATTTGTGAAGTGAAGTGAGGGCACAAGTATCTCTGTGTATCAGTGTTGTAGGTCAAACACATTTCTTGGAAGAGAATGATGCTTTCTTTGATTCACATGGATCGACAGATATCAGAGTCTGCGGCTATCGATCTCTGATAGTGAGACAGGGACTGTCCAGACTGACTATCTATCAGATTTATGATTCTATGAACAGTTTTGAGTGGTGGGAGATTTAGTATGTGGCTTAGACAGTTCTATGGACAGAGGGTGCAGTAATTGTAGACTGACTACAGTCTATACGATCTGAGAAGACGTCTGATGGATGTGGCGCAACACAGTATGGACACTATATTATACATGAGACTCATGTCATAGAGAGGGAGAAGTGCGATGACAACGTGTTATACATAATTATGAGTTCTACATATATTTATCACAGTAGAGTAGTGCGGTGCGGTGTACACACTCGGGAGCGCAGTTAGAGTATGAGGTCGGAGTTCGAGTAGAATGAGCAAAATTTCACAGGCAGTATGTGCATAGGTAGAAGATGGACATAGGCACGTGGCGAGTTGATGTGAGACTTACGGCGAGAGATCGCTGTGAGTTGTAGATGAGTGATATTAGAGACAGTAGTGTGAGATCTCGGCGAACACACATAACGGAAGTCACTAGACAGGTTATGAAGGGGGGGGTATGGTGTTATTATGTGAGTGAGATGACACGCGTAGAGGTATAGGAGATATGATCCGAGGAATGTGGGTGAAGAAGAGGAGTGTGCGATTTCTTGACTATAAGGTGCGAGCACTGTGTGACAGTTAGGCACACACGAGTACGAGAAATGAAGATTATAGTAGTAGATGGTGATTCTAATGAGAAGGATGATGGATTATGATTTGGGGATGGTTATATTAGGGGTATATTGTAGATTTGGTATGGTTAAAGTGGGGGAGTTATGGAATATTGTATAGAGTATTAGATGTTTAGGGTTGGAATAGGTGGGGAGAGGGAGGAAAGAGTAGGGTTATTTATGGGTTAGAGAATGTATATGTGATGAGAATTATGAATTGTGATAGAATTTAATTGATTGTGGGTTAGTATTTAATTGGTTAGGGAGGGGGGGGTATTTGATTGGATGAGTGTGTGTGAGAATGTTTTGGGTGAGTGGGGTTTATTTTAGGAAGATTTGTATTTATGATTAGGGAGATGAGATATAATTTTTTTGTGATTAGGATGTGTAGTGTGAGTAGGAAATAGAGAAGTATTAGGAAAGGTTATAGGTAGTTGGGAGTAGTTTTGTTAATGGTTAGTAAGTGAAATGTAGAGTTGAGGGGTGAGATAAAGTGGAGATGAAGAGTAAGGGAGTGAAATGTTTACATGTTTGTATAGATAGCAAAATGTGGGCATATATATAAATTAAATGTGTGGTTATATATAAAAAGTATTAATAAGTAGGAGAGGAAAAGAGAGAGATACACACAGACTGTGGAGAGAGATAAATATTTTGGGCAGAGTAAATATATATAGTGTTAAGTGCACACGAAAGGACGAGGCTGCGCCTCGGGTGCGATCACAGCATAGCAGTCTGGACTCGGACGATAATGGAATATACGTAGCCCAAAGTACGTGTTACGGGAAGATGTCAGAGGCAGCAGGCGCGGTCAGCTAAAGTCGAACTGCCGTCGAAATAGTAATGGTGAGAGCAGAGAACGTAGATGAAAGTAAGAGCGGAGAATTGATGCACAAGTTATCTTAAAGGCGAACATATCGCAGCAGTCTGCACGCGCAAGCTGCACTGATTAGTAACATAACCTAATTGCTACGGGGAGACATTGGATTTAGGCAGATAAATGGGTGTTGCGCGTGAAACCACTTTTAACATTAGTGGGGTAAGAACAGATCAAATACGTGGAAATAACTATATGGGCGATGTAGACGAGTTTCCTTGGAGCATGTTAGCCATAAGCGGTCCAGAAGCAGCAGAATGTGTCAACAAGTAGTGTTATTGACATAATCGAAGCAAGTATACATGGATGTTCACACTAATGAATACGTGGGTTGATTGAAATTGATTTTAGAATTCTCTACTCTGGCTTTATAATGCCACGGAAATTCGAGGCTCAGAGGGATAACCCTCTTCGCTATGCCGTCCGGTACCCGCTTGAGAGTGCAAAGTGCTTTGCGCTCTCACAGTGAGATTTAAAAGTGACGGGCTCCGTCATCAAAAGTGGCGTATAACACAAACGACTGGTTTCGATAGGTCAAATGCTCACTTCCTGATCTAGAGGAATAGGCGGGACACTGATGCTTCGCAGTAGGACAACACGACCGTCTAGTGCTGTTAACATTTGTGTTAGGTAATGTAACTCAGAGGCGGCTGCGATGTACTGGTAATTTAAGTATTATTTAAGTTGACACCATCATGGGGTACCACAATATGGAGCGATAATCAAATTTAACTAGAGCTCTGTTATGCAATGCACTTGATGAGTTACACACGCTAAGCCAATTATAACTGTAAGTCACAAGTTTACAGCCAATA